AGGGACAGGGGATGGCGGGCACTGACTTTAAATATTCCCTCTCCTGCACCTGGGGAAACAGCCTGGAGACCCTTTCCCGCCTAAACGCTGAGAGTGCACCAGCCTTGGGCAGCAGAGGGACTAGCGTGCTCACCCTCACCTTGACCACCCCTCCCCAGCCCAACGCAGCTCTAGAAAAGGGGCCCCTGACCTGGGGAAGCCCTCTGCCCTGGCTTTCGCAGCACGTCAGGGCCACCAGCAGGGCAGTGCTGGGAGGCTGGCGCCAGTGGGAGGTGTACCCTCTCCAAAGGGCCAGGAGAGGAAGCCAGGAGACTGGGTGCTGAAGCAGAAAGCTGCCCCCCATGAGCCTGGAAGAGGACGTCTGCACACGCCGGGTCGCAGGCAGGGCAAGGGGCACGTTCAGACCCTGGGCAGCTGGAGGCTGGTGGCTGAAGATGGGGTGGGGCTGAGATGGGGCGTGGCCTATGATGGGGCGGGGCGGGGAGTTCGTAGAGTAGGGCCGCGATGGGGCGGGGCCGGGATGGGGCGGGGCCGGAGTGGGCGGGACGGGGCCGAGGTGGGCGGGGCAAGGGGTGAGGTTTCCCCGGGAGGCTTCCAGTTGGTTGAATTTTCTAAACCTGCTCAGGAGCCAGTTATTTGGTTAAAGACAACAGAAGTTATTTGGGTAAGGTTAGGCTTCATATTTGTGTGGTTCTTCCTCACACTTCCCAAAATTAAAAAAAAATTTGAATAAGGATTAAAGGTAAAATATTTAGCAGCTTCAAAACCTTCACGCTGCTTTTCTCGGTAGTCCCATCTCGGGGTCTGTGGACAGAAAGGAAGAGCGCGGTGGGCAGGCGGGGCGGGTGCTGGCAGGTGGTGTGCGCCACCGTGACTGCGGCTAAGGCACTGTGTCTGCACCTTGTTAGTGCTCTGCACGACTTCCCTGTCACACAGTGCTGGGGGCGTTTTGTGGGCGAGAGATGGGCAAAGGGTCCCTGGAGGCGGGTCTCCCCTTGGCTTCCAGAACTTCTGCACCTCCCAGACTCAATTCCAGGAAGCTGGCTGTGTGGCGCCATGTTGACCCCAGGCCCAGGCCAGCTTCTCCCCCCTGGCTTTCCATGAGCGGGTCATCCAGCCCAGGCCCTGGGTCTTCCTGCTGTGCTCACCAGCACCCCTAGGCCATGCCTTGCTGCTCCTCGCTCCCCTTCCTTCTCTGCACCCGAGCTTGCTGGTTGGTCCCCCTCATAGATGGGCACATTTGATACTCACTAGTTCCCCGGAGCACCCAGCAGAAGAATATACTGCACATATTTGCTTCACTAAACCCAGAACCAGAAAGTAGCTGGGAGAACCCAAATGCCCCAGGAAGGCCGGGTCACAAGCCTGGGGAGCAGCAGGAGTGTGGCTGCCCAGCTCCAGCAGGGGTTGGACCTCTCTCCAGGGGAGCTGGACCTCTGATTTTCAAGTTAGAAATCCACATTCCTAGAAGGTGAGATCTTGTTTTTGGGCACTGGTGATGTTCCCTTGTTTGGAAATGGGGTCGTTCCAGATGTAATGAGTTCAGATGAGGTCGTGTTGGACCTCGAGGCTGGGCTCCTAATCCAGTAAGACTGGTGTCTTTCTAAAAAGACACAGAAGGGGGCTGGGGATGTGGCTCAAGTGGTAGTGCGCTCGCCTGGCATGCGTGTGGCCCGGGTTCGATCCTCAGCACCACATACAAACAAAAGGTGTTGTGTCCGCTGAAAACTAAAAAATAAATATTAAAAAATAAATAAATAAAAATAAATAAATAAATAAAAAGACACAGAAGGAAGATGACCACGTGACCAAGGCAGACACCAGGAAGGAGGCAGCCGCGTGGCAAGGAGGGCCCAGCTTGCCAGTCACCACCACAATCTCGGGGAGGGCCCAGGAGCTGATCCCCCCTGCCAGACCCCATGAAGAGACCCCATGAAGGACCCCATGAAGAGACCCCATGAAGAGACTTTGGGCCTCCAGAGCTATGAGAGAATAATTTCTGTTGTGTTCAGTCACCCAGTTTGTGGTGATTGGACAGCAGCCCCTAAGACAACACTTAATTTGGAACGCCCTCGGGTACAAGCAGTAAGAATCTGTCATAGTCACCCACCCACACAGCTGCTACTTCTCCAGTGTCACTCCAGGTCACAGGAAGTAGGAAGGCAGAAGGGCTGTGGCTCCCTTTTTGTATCCATCAAGGCCAGTCTCCTGCAGCCCTCAGTGAAATATCGTTTGACTAGAACTGAACTAGCTGCAAAGGGACTGGGAGACGGCCCCTGACTCACCGCTATGTGGATGACCCCAGGCATTCGGGGTGGACCTGAGAAACTCATTTTCTCAACCTTTACCTGCCTCACTCATCAAATATTTGTCTGAGACATTATCAAGGATAAAACTGGTTTGAGCCAGGACCCGTGTGGGCGGGAGCCATGGAGCTGGCTGTCTTCCTTCCTCACAGAGCATGAGGGCTCTCTCTTCTCCTTTCACTTCCCCACTCCCTGCTGAGGCCTCCACCAGTTTCCAGAGGTGCTTTGGGCTGTGGGTGCAGGAACTCTGAACCAGTGATGGCTGCAGGGCTTCCTACTCCACAGCCTCTCACTGGCCTCTCTGCCCCCAGCCTCATCTCCTCATTCATGTCTCACGCCAGTGCTGAGTGGGCCCCAAAGGACAAATCCAGCCATAGGTCCTCCCAGCTGAAGACCCTGCAGACCCTTGCTCTTGCCCAGAAGCACCACCTGTAATCTCTGGACCCATGGGCTCCTCCGTGAGGTCACCATGGAGCTCTGACACACAGTCTACAGGGCTGTTCCTGGTCTCTCTTCTTCTGGACTCCAAGCCCATCCCAAAGTGCCAGGTCTCTGTGCCTCTCTGTTCCTGTGCTGTCCTTCCTGTCCTCCAGCCTCTCTCCCTTTCCACAAGCCACTCTGCTCTCCAGGTGCTGGTCCTGGGCCAGCTGGACCCACCTTCCTCCATGCCTCTCTGATTCCCCCTCCTCAGACACCTCCCTTTGCTGCCCTATCTGCTGGGGACCTCCATGGCTTGATGTGCATCCCCCAGCCCAGGGCAGGACTGGGTCTCTGCTCACTGGACTCTGGGCTGGACCAGGGGTCATACACCAGGGCCCTCAGTTTGTGTCCACTGAGCATAGATGTCTGCCTCATCTGACTCAGACACAAAGGACAGAAGAGGGTCACTTCCTCAAGCCCTTGCCACTATAGGTCACACTCAGAACAGGCCAGGAAGGCCAGATCTCATCCGTCTCACCTCACACCTTACCGTTTCCTCAAACCTCCCTGTTCTTCCCAGGGCCGGATTTGCTGGAGACATTTCCAGCCTGCCCATCCCTGATGCTGGGTGGTCTCAGCAGTAGGGTGATGGATGGCATCTTGGCCCTTGGCAGGGGCTGCAGCTCCACCCCTTCCTCATTCCTGGCCACGCCTTTGTCCATCAGTCAGGGCCCCCTTTGACTCAGGTTCTGTCAATATGTAGGAAGCTGCCCTTCAAGTTCTTCATCTGCTCTCTTGACACCGGACATGGGAGAGCCCTGCATCCCGGTGGACAGAGGGTGCCAACACACACAGGTGCTGTTTCATCACCTCCTGACCACAGTCCCTCTGCCCTGTGTGGAACTCCAGCTAGCAAGTGGCTATGGGGCAGCTCAAACTGGGGCGTTCCTCCTGAGGGCCAGAGGCTTTCCCGACTCAGCCTTGATCCAGCCTCCATCCCGCGCCCAGCAGGAGCCCTCTGCCCCAGCTCTCTGTGCTGCAGGTGCCAAGAAAACCACCCACCTGCCCCAGTGCTGCAGCCCCTGGTCTGCTTCATGCTCCCCAGGACCCCACAGCATCTGGCTGCTGCCAGGGAGACCCTGGCCAGTGACTCCAGGTGCCCAGGGCTGGAGGGAGGGAAGAGAAAGGACCTCAGCCAGGTCAGGGACGGAGAGAAGGCAATATGCATAATGTAATTCACAATCTCTTTAGGAAAATCCTAGCTCTCAGATCAATGAGATTCTGGTTACATCTTGAATAGAAAAGAACCCACGGGCACAGTGGGCAGCTGTATTTCTCTCCAGGCCTCCTTTTCTGTTGCCTTCACTTTATCATGATCTGACGCCTTTTCAAAATCCCTCCAAAGATCTGTACCATGAGAAGTCCTTGAATAGGCTACTGTGCCTTTTTTTTTTTTTTTTTGGTACCTGGATTGAAACCAGGAGTGTTTAACCACTGAGCTACACCCCAGCCTGTTGTGTATTTTATTTAGATATAGGGTCTCACTAAGTTTCTGAGGCTGAGCTCACGATCCTCCTGCCTCAGCCTCCTGAGCCTCTGGCATTACAGGCGTGCACCATCACGCCTCACCCACTGTGCCTTTTGCAATACGCATGAGATAAAAAAAATCTTTGGAAAAGAACATGTGTTCATAATTAAATTTTCTGAAAAGCAGACCTTTTTTTAGCAAAGACAAAAGAAACACAGATTTGTGAAGGCCTGAAGTGGCTCCCCTGTGCCAGGGCCTCGGCCAGCCAGGCACCCCCCAATCCAGTCCTCAGGACCTCATAGCAGCACTCAAAGTCAAGTCACTGACCGGCTTAAAAATGTCAGGATGATTTTTTCTTTGGCAGGCTCTCTGCCAGAGGGCCATGAGAACCCTGGCTTGGAATACAGCGCCCTGTCCTAAGGAGGGGCTCCAAGGAGCAGCCCTGCACTGGAGGGGGCTTGTCCTTGAGGTCATAGGTGAGTGACTCAAGCCAGGGCAGCCCAGGTGGTCCTGATAACATAAAAACTTGAATGGCTGCAGATGGTCAAAAGAGCAAAAACCCCTGAGCCTTACAGTGTTTCTGGGGTTGGGGGAGCTGCCCCCACAGCCTTGGTGTCTGGGACTAAATCGCCAGAGGGATCAACTTCCGGAATCTAGCAGGGTTTGAGAAATACTAGACCGACCAGTTTGTCTCCTGACCTGGACATTCCAGTGGCCTTACCCAGCTTGTGACCAGCAGCTGGGCTCAGAGGCCTGCTGTGTCCCCCTGAGAGCAGAACCCTCCTTGTTGGGAAGCCAGCTCCTGCTGTGCGTGGCTGCTGATCTTCTGGGGCCTCTGATTTGCAGGTCGCTGTGCTCCCAGTGAAACTGCCTCCGCATTAGTTTCAGGCCACTTCACAGATCTGGGTTTGCAGCCTTGCAAGCTCCAGGACCAGCCGCCTCCTAATGACCCTTTCTCCTTCCATGGAGGTGACAGCCTGAGCTCTCCCCAGACACGCTGCTAAGGTGCTGGTGGGGACTTGGCAGGGATGGTGGCCTGTTCCCTGAAATCATGTCCTAAGAGAGACCAGCCCAGCTCAGGGGTGAGTGCAAGAGACTTTCCCTGCTCCTCACACAGTCACCATGTGCTGAGCCTCCCTTGTGGATGCAGCCCTATGTCCAAAATCAGCTGTTAGAAGCCCAGCTGCTCCCACTTCCAGCCACACCCTGTGTGCTGTGCCTCAGCAACTTCCCAGCACCTGGTGCAGGAGTGTCCCCATGTCCCCGTCTACAACAGGGTGGGGGCTGATTGGAAGAGGGAAACTGGAGCAGGACTTGAACCTAGACCCCCATCCTGTAATCCCTGCAGGCTGCTCCCTCAACATCCTGTGGAAAAGCCTCCCAGCACCCCCACTGTGGCAGGAACGGGCCACAGAGGGATTGGGGAGCAACTCCCCTGAGTTCGGAAAAGGGGATGATGCTCACCTACACCCAGTGCTCACCCACTACTCAACAAAGCCAGGCCTCATGTGCCCCAGAGACCCCTCCTGTCCCCCAGGGAGGGTGAAAGGGGACGACCCTGCTGGGTGCAGAAAGGGTCTCAGCAACGCATTTCACTGGACTGGGTGACGAAACGGGAAGGGCAGGATTTGCTGACTGTCCCACCCTCTGTGTCAATAGGAGGCCAACCCTTAAAGCACCATGAGGCCTCCAGGGGACATTTCCCCAGCAGGCCAGTCTCAGAAGGAAGGAGGGTCCACAGCCAGCACCATGACAGAGCTGGAGACAGCCATGGGCCTCATCATCGACGTCTTCGCCCGGTACTCAGGCGGTGACGGCCGCCGGCAGACCCTGACCAAGGGGGAGCTGAAGCAGCTCATGGAGAAGGAGCTCCCCGGCTTCCTGCAGGTGCGGCCAAGTCCAAGGGTGGCACAGGGAAAGGTGGTGGGCATGGCAGGCAGAAGGGACAGGAACGACCGACTGAGCCAGCCGGGCAGGTCCAAACAGACCCAGATGCAGGCAAGGAATGACCCGAAGTCCCTGCCGGGGACACTGGGCATCTGGGCGGGGAGTGGGTGCCCAGGCGGATCCTTGAGGCGTGGAGCTAAGTCCCTACAGTGTTGTGATCAGGATTCTTTCCCTGTGGGGCCTGGGGGGAGGGTGGCACTCCTGGGCAGGGGTGGGGGCGAGCATGGAAGGCAGGGCAGTTCCTGAGGTTGTTTGCGGGCCCCTCAGCTCTCCCTCTCCAAGGCTGCTGGCCACGGACATCCCTGCTCCTCCCCCTCCTCCTCCTCCTCTTGCCCACCAGCCTTCCTCCTGTGCCCAGGTCCCTTGTTACCTGGTAGGACCCACAGGAGTAAGACAGAAAACCCATCCTGGATCCTCTGAGCTCACTGCATCAGGCAGGAGCCATGGGGCCTGGAGCTCCCAGGAAGCCCCCAGGGCCCCGGGACCAGCGCCTGGGCAGCTTCTGATGGGTCTAAACAGGGCCCCTCTCCCGCTCCCTGCGCCCACCACTCTGCCATTCTGCTCTCTGAGGGGTCTTCGCTGCTACAGCAGGTTGAAAGGGAAGCTAAACTGTCCAGTCCAAAGCATGACTGGACACACCAAGCTCCTGGTACCCAGGTCTCTACTTTCTAGATGTGAGTGAAATGGATATTTTTTTTTAGTTGTGAGTGGACACAATGCTTTTAGTTTACTCATTTTTATGTGGTGCTGAGTGCCTCCCATGTGCCAGGTGAGCCCTCCACCACTGAGCTACAGCCCCAGCCCCAAGTCAAATGTATTTTTAAAATAAGCTTCACCTGTCTTCCTCTACTATAATATGTGTTTGAGGCAGGAGTGAATACGGAAGGGAGGTGGAGCCCCCTCTCCTATCTACCCCACAAACACTGCTGTGAGTGGATCCTGATCCTGTGCAGCTTCCTGTCTTCTTGGACTGAACGTGACCATGTAAATCCTCAGACTCCGATGGTCACTAAAAGTGCCCACCCCCACAGGCTGGGAACTTGTGTGTGGCGTGTGGGTTGTTTTATCATCAAAGTTTGAGATTTTAGTTTGTGGGGCTTTTGATCTCACAAGGTGGGGAGGGGCAGGTGCCCAGGGAACACACTTTGAGAACTAGTGCCTAAGCCAGGGATTCTCCACCTGGGTTAGGTCAGAACCAGGGAGGGAACTTGGAAAAGCAGGGCCCTGGCCCTTGGACAAGCCTGGCTCTGTGCCTTGCCAGCCCTCCCTCCAAATGGTCCTGGAGGTGAGAAAGTTGGAGAACAATGTCCATCTGAGGGAAGGGACCGTGCTGGCCTTGTGGTCCTGTTTCTTTGATACCCAGCCCAGGGCCTGGCTCAGTCAGAGCTTCTCATGCAAGAATTAGAGTGAGTACTAGGTGACTGTTGGCTACAAACTTGGTGAACGTCCCTAGGAATGGCTGCAAGCTATGCCAGGGTGGACATGTGGGCTCTCCTTTGCCATCTAATCCCCTGACTTTTGCTGTGTTGTCCCAACCACCTCCAGGCACAGCTGTGCCGCAGCCAGAGGACATAGGTGTTGCTTTCTTGGACACACAGAGTTCTGGTTCCTGGCTGGCTTGAGCGCCCCCTGCTGCTGCTGTGCAGACCTGCACCTGGTGGAGCTTGGTCCCTTGGGGAGGACACCACCTCTGCCCTGTCACATGAGTCAAGGCAGCTTGGCCCTCTCAATGACCTGGGGCCATGGGTCGTGAGCCACAAATGCTCAGGACCAGCAGACAAAGAGCAGGGCTTCTGTGCTCCCTCCACACCTGGGTCTCAGACCTTCTCTGTGTGACCCTGGGCAAGTCCCGGGGGCCCTCTGGGCCTCTCGGTCTTCATCTGTGGCTCCAGTGGCACTTGTTCCTGCCCGGGCTTGTGAGAACTGAGGGTCTGTGTAAAGCAGGCTCAGTGCTGGCATGAGGCGACCGAGCACCGAGGGAATTCATTTCCTGGGGGTGATCGCCATTTAAAAACGCACCGTAAATCCAGTTGTTCCCCTTGAAGAACTTACAATACAGTGTCCCCCCAGGGGGTACGATGCAATCCCCGCTTGACCTAAAACATGACAGGTCAGCTCGTCCTGTCATACAGCCCAGGGCAGCTCACGACACTCAGAGCCTGTGTGTCCTTTCCAGGGACCCAGCGTCTGTTCCACACAGCTGGGCCTGGCACTGAGCCTTGTGACAGCATGTGTGGCACACATGCAGGTGGCCCCCATCCCCGTGGCCCTGGCTGAGGCCGAGGCCCTGCTCAGCCCCTGCATCACTGACTCTGGGCCTCTCTCCTCTAGAGCGGAAGGGACAAGGATGCTGTGGGCAGGCTGCTCAAGGACCTCGATGCCAACGGAGATGCCGAGGTGGACTTCAGTGAGTTCATCGTGTTTGTAGCCGCACTCACGTCTGCCTGCCACAAGTACTTTGCACAGACAGCATCCAAGTGATGCCCTGCACCGGAAGGACCTGGGAGGAGTCCCTGGCTCCCAGCCTCTGTTGGCAATTACTTCCTTGGGCTGAGCCAAAGTCCCCTAATTAATAAATGCTGGTGAATGATCCTGCTCTCAAAGTGGTGCTCTCCTTTAGACCCCAGACTCCTCCCCCACAGACACCGATTCCCACTGGTATCAGCCTGACGTACCAACAGCCATCTGGTTGTAACCTGGCACACACCCCAACCCTGAGGCATAAACAAAGTTGTTCAGATGGTCGGTTGAGCACAGTGTGCTGGCCGCTGACGCTGAGATTTTTTAGCCGACACAGGACATGTGCATAGTTTCTGAGAAAGGCCAGGCAGCTAGACCATGGCCACCTCTCTCCCTCTTACACTTAAACCCTTTCTCCACCTCATGGTGTGGGGTCTCCATCCTGCGGCCACCCAAGACACACTTCTGTCCATAAGTCCCCAATAAATTGCCCCTGTGTGATCCTGGATCTGTCTGGCTTTTCTGCCTTTTGGCTCCATCCCACATTGGCAGCCAGTTCTCAAACTGGACCAGGATTTTCTGGAACATTCACTATGTAATGCCACATTTAATGTCTCACTGCCAGCCTGGTAGACGGACAGAGATGAAAAGCACAGGTCGGTTGGTAACAGTCCGTTCCCGGTCCACTCCCTGGGGTGCCCTCTGAACCAGCCCATGGCCGAGGCCCAGTGCCCACCCTAGAGAATCTGTGGGCACAGCGAGGGCCACCCTGTAGTGAGCGTGCATCCAGCCAGCCAGCCACCTGTTAAGTCATGCCATTCCTCAGCCTTTCCTGGGGTGCTCAGTGAGCCAGGCTCCCCGTCACTCCAAACACCATGTTTTCAAGTAGCACAATTTTCTTGGTTGTTTTGAGGTGATGGGAATTGAACCCAGGGCTGCTCGTCCACTGAGCTACTCTTCTAGCCCTTTGCGTTTTTTATTTTGAGACCGTGTCTCCCTAAGTTGCCCAGGCCAGTCCTGAGCTTAGCATCCTCCTGCCTCAAGCTGCTGGGCTCTGGGTTGCGGGCTGCACCGCTGGGGCCTGGCCAAGGAACACCTTTAATGGTATCAGAGTATTTTTGCTATGAAGAGCATAAATCCAGTGACAGAGAAGAAATGAGTACAAGTACGGATGAGAGTCACCGTGAGTAAGTGCTCCCGTCACCCGAGCTCATGGCTTTGTGCCACCGTCTTCAGGAGAGGACCAAAGTGACTCAGGGCAGGTCGCAGGTGTGAGGTTGTTATCGGGTCTGTTTCTAGGACTCAACCCAGTCCTGCAGCCCTCCCTGTGTGTGAGGGGTCTTCCTGCCGTTGGGCGAGGGCTTCTCCACCAGTTGCTCTTGCTGCTGTGGTTTCTTCAGCCTGTGACACAAGGCGAATCCTCGGAGCACATTTAATTAACACATGTGCTCAGGTGTATGTGAATCACGGTTTCCCACGCTACTCAGTGGGTTGTAATCTGCCATGATCACTATAGTGACTCTCCAATTGTCCCTGACATGACCGGTGGAGCCTACTTAGGCTGACTTCTGTCCTTCCAACATGTCCCCAACATTCTCTGTAGGCCCTTGCTTGCTGTCACATCAAGATGTCTGGATACATCTTGATCTTTCCTTGCCTGTCTCTGAAGTTGGCCATTCCTCCACGCAGCCCTGGCTCCTTTTAGTGCTACCTAGAAACTAGGACCTGAGAGGTAAGTGAGTATGTCACTGCTGGGGTGTCCCTGCTCCCAGCCCTCTCAATGGACAGACCCAGAGAATATTTGCAGGTATGCCTGGAAGTTCATACAGATGCATACCCCCCATCTGCATCTATCCTGTGTACATCTGATACCGCAGATGCGGACCTCACCTTCAGCGCCACAGGGCACCTTAGTGTCCCTTCGCCCTGCTCGGTCCGAGCCCCACACTGCTCCCTGCAAAGTCGCCCTCCTCGCCTCTCAGGAGAGTCACCTCAAAGGCTGCCCTGAGTGGTCCCTTGTGGATCCTCTCCCCACCTCACTTGGGCTGACTGCCTGGAATACTCCCGGGGACTCCTTCCCCACTCAGCAGGGGCTGACTCCCGTCCCCTGCCCTGCCCTACAAGAGTCCTCCTCATGCTGGACTGTGCACACTGGGGACACCTTCCCCAGCCTGTTCAGAGGGCTGACCCTGCGGGCCTTGGGCTCTGGGCCCTGGGCTGGGCACCAGAACACCAACGTCACTGTGAGGATGTTGCACAGCCTAGCCTCGCCATCCATGAATCTGTTTGTAAGTTCACCTACCTCTTATAGTTTATTGTAACCCAAGCGGGTGCTCATGGTGAACCCCTGGTCACTTGCAGACGTGTGCAAGCAGCAGAGCTGCGTCATGTGACACACACACTCCCCACTGAGGCCCAATAGCCTGCTCTGCCTTCCAGCCCAACTCCTGTGCTGTGAGCGCACCTGGGCCAGGGTCTACTCAGGGCCTTGGTTTGGGTTTTGGTCTTTGCCTCTTTGTGCTTTTGTGCATTTTTGTTTAAAATGTCTCCTGGCTCTGTCGCTGCTCAGGTGCTGGCTGCTGTTCCTAAGCACAGGAGGCTACGACCCACCTTATGGAGAAAGCATGGCAGATGAGCTCCGCAGAGGAGGCAAGAGCAGATGTGCTGTGAGCCTCGAGTGCAATACTAACTCAGTAGCACCTGGTAAACGAGGTGCCTTTAAACAGAAACACGCACAAGGCATGGATACAGAATGGCCAGTCGTAGGTGCGCGGCTGGAGGCTGGTAGCGCCCACTCCTGTTTCCCCAGGGACAGTGACTCGGCATTTGCTAACGCAGCGTTCATGGTGACTTGGAATAACTAGTACAGATGACTAGTACAGAGAACCAACTACACACATTTCCTCAATTGCAACCACCTGGCAAAATGCAAGCCCCAAATGTATGCTGGACCCACTTTCTCTGCACCTTCTCCCAGGAAGCTGAGTAGCCCCAGGGTTACAGAGAGACAGCCCAGGCCGGGTTGAGACAGGTGGCGTGGCTGTAGCAGGTGTTGGAGGGAGTTCACAGGAGGTGGAGGAGGGTGAGTGAGCAGAGAGGAAGGCAGGACAGGCAGAGGAGGACGCTGAGGGGACCCCAGAAGAGGCCAATTTCAGGCAGTGACAGGAAAACCAGGACACAGCTCTGGGAGGGGCAGAAGTGCTTGAGGACACGTGGAGTCCACGTGCTGAGTGACTGAGTGAGCATCCTCAGCCCCTGTGGCCTGTCCTCAGTGCCATGCCTCTCCAGCACTAGGAGGAAGTTCCAGAAAGCAAACCGTGTGGACTGCCTGTGCTCCGTCTCTCAGTACAGACCAGTGCTTGGTATACAGTAGGAGCTAAGTATTGGTAAAGAAAACATCTGAGACAAAAGGAATTTTTAAGTGTTTCAAGGCCAGGTACAGTGGCACATGCCCGTACCCAGCAACTCTGCACACTGAGGCAGGAGGAGCACAAGTCTGAGGCCACCTGGGTAACTTAACTACAGTAACTTAGCAAGAGACCCTGTCTCAAAATAAAAAATAAAAAGGGCTGGGGTATAGCTCAGTGATAGAGCGCCCCTGGGTTCAGTCCCCAGGACTGCAAAAAATTTGTTTCAAGCAGAGAAGGGCTGCACAGTTCTCTAGCTCATCTGTCAAGGATAGGACTGAAGTAAAATGAGAGCTGCGAGGCCAGTTTGGAGACTGGCACTAACAGCTGTGGCTTGGAATAGCTGGAGGGAGGCAGATGAGTCAGGGTGGAATCAACATGCTTTGGTGATGGCCGGGTAGGGGAGGGGAGTGCCGAGGAGAAGGGCAGTGTAGGGAGTAACACTGAAGCTTCCTGCAGCTGAGCTGTCTGCGGAGGCAGCGGACACCACTCAGCGTGCTTTACGTACCTAACTGGCACGTATGTACCTAACTGGCACGCATTCGCTCAGCAGTCAGCGCCAACCATGCGCCAGGCAGACTCTGGTCCCAGTGTTAGGAATTCAGCAAAGTCTCTGCCCTAAGGGGTCCAAAGCGCAGCACACTTCAGGCTGGGGTGGTGCCCCAGTGGCAGAGCACTTGCCCTGCATGTGTGAGGCCCTGGCTCTAGCCTCAGCACCATAGGAACATAAATAAATAAAAGTATTGTGTCCATCTACAACTAAAAAAAATTTAAGAAAAACAAATAACCACACTTCAAATATTGAAAAAAATAAAGGGAGAGTGAGTGATGGGGATGGCAGTGTGCTCTGCAGAGGTGGCTTGGGAAGGCCTCTGGAACGGTGAGCTTAGCTTGAGAGCCTTGACAGCCACCAGGACATCAGGCATTCACAGTGTGGTCAGAAGAAACAAAACCCTGCAATAAGTCATGACAAAAAAGCCTCCCAGACTCAGCCAGGGCAAGAGAAGGCTGTAGAGCCTTTTGTTGTTGTTGTTTTTTAATATATTTTTTTTAGTTGTAGGTGGACACAATACCTTTATTTTTTTGTGGTGCTGAGGATCAGATGCAGTGCCTCACGTGCGCTAGGCTACAGCCCAGCCCTGGTTTAGAGCCTTTTCTTTTCTTTTTTTTTTTTTTAATATTTATTTATTTATCTTTTTTTTTTAGTTATCAGTGGACACCACATCTTTGTTTGTATGTGGTGCTGAGGATCGAACCTGGGCCACACGCATGCCAGGCGAGCGCGCTACCGCTTGAGCCACATCCCCAGCCCCGGTTTAGAGCCTTTTCGCAGACAGCACAGAACTTCAGATTTCAGAGGAAGGAGAGTTGGGGCGTGACTAGCAGGCAAGACAAGCCAGGCAGACTCTGGTCCCAGTGTTAGGAATTCAGCAAAGTCTCTGCCCTAAGGGGTCCAAAGCACAGCACACTTCAGGCTGGCGTGGTGCCCCAGTGGCAGAGCACTTGCCCTGCATGTGTGAGGGCAAGTGCTCTGAGCAACTGGGGAAATCCAAGCTCCTAGCTGACTGCTGCTTACAGACCACTGACATATAATCGGCTATAGGAGATTATAAGTAGGAAACACAAGCAATGTGTCTCTAGGCTACATAATTATCATAAGTATGTCAGAAGACAACTGGCCTGTCACTGCAATACTCCTAAGAGCCAAGGGTCAAAATGATATG